CGACACCCCACACCCACCGACCTAGTTATTTACCTCCGACGCGCGGACCCCGCGCAGCCGAACCTGCTACCTGGGCCCGCCCCCACCTGCCCCGCCTCCGAGCCGCCGGGGAGAGGGAGGGCACAGAGGCGGAGGAGCCAATCGCCAAACTAACCAATCGCAGTCCGAGGTAGGTTCCTGTGCGTATCCTGATTGGGTCTCTATGTGATCTTCCTCCAATAGCTGCCGGAGCGGCGGCTGAAGGGACTTTCCGCTCCGTCAAGCTCGGTGGAGCCTAAGGGAAAAAGCAGAGGGGAGGAGCGGAGAAGCGGGATGGGGTCGGGGAACCCTGGCTGATTGGACCAAAGCCTGGGAAGACGCATTAGCATTGGCTGGTATGGGAGCCGGGGCGGGGCGGGGCTCTCCTAGCTCCTCCTCCAATGCCGGAGTCCTGGCTCTACCCTTAGCTGTCAAAACTGTGGTGGGAAGTCCAGGCAAGAGCTGGTAATAGTTTTCCAGGATTTCAAGAAAGAGCAAAGCTTAAGAATCACACCTAAGATGGAACCTTTTGCTCTCTCAATAAGTTGCCGCTTGAGATGAAGTCACAACCACGCAGGGGCCTCAATTTCCACATCTGTAAAGTGGATATAATAATAGTACAACCTGTCTTACAGGATCGTTGTGCAATGCCGCGTTCAAGTTCCTGACAATCAGCAGAGGGTAAAGTTCTTCTCTTCGGAAGTGGACTGGGATCCCCGTTGTTTCTGAACCTCTGTTGCCGCCTATCCCAGTTATGAGGGAGGTTTTCTAAGGATGATGAAGAAAGGGTTTCTACGGGCTATCTCACTCAGCCCTGCAACCCTGGCCACCAACCAGGACATGAGGTGTTGTTAGGGATCTTTCAATTAGAACAGGAGGCTTCTGATTCCCAAAAGCGCTCAAAATATTTAAGGAAGTGCTTTTTATAATTAGCCCCAGAGCTCTGAAGCATGCGTTCCTGCACTGGGTACTCTCGTTAATTAATTCCTTCTCCTTTGACATTTTAAGTACTAATTATGGGGGACGGTGATTAATACTGAGGAGGAGTTTTGTTTTTTTTTTTTTTTGTGTGTGTGTGTGTGTGTGTGTGTGTGTAATGACACAAATTTTGCCAATGGAAATTGACATGCTTCTGAAGATCTGGGGAATTTACACCAATGAGTATGGAAAAGTAGTCACGTGAGTGATGACCAACAGTAGTCCTAAACAGGCCACCCCTCTCCCTTGCTATAATCTGAAAATTAAATGGACATCTTTTGAAAACCTTAGTTTCAATCCACTCTTGTCTTTCCTTAGCCCATCCAGATCCTATTTCTCAGGCTCCCTGAACATCTTCCCAAAGGAAACAATATGATGGGAATCACCTGGCCTGGCTCGCAGTGTGGCTTTAGGGAAACCCACTTCCCTCTAGATCTAGATTCGACAATGACTAAGGCTCTGAGATCATACTCTGGCTGTCTGGGAGAAAACATCATCTGAAGATTGCTTTTGCTCAGCTCATATATTAAGGACAAGGAAGAAGAAGAAGCAGAGATAGGAGAGAGATTTGGAATCCTTTACACAAAGTAAGCATTTCGCTTTCTTTCGATTTTTGTCACAATCCTCACCATTCCCTATTTTATGTCTTTGGGTCACTTTTCTCCTTGGCCCCTGAAGTATCCAGGCTCATAAGCAAGAGAGAGGCCTGCCATGTGCAAGGCAGGAGGGTTGTGTCACAGTACTATTTATTATTTGCAGTGCTTCATCAACCAGCCTCTCATTTTACAGAAGGGAGATTAAAGGTCCAGGGGAAAGGCTGAGACATAGATTCTCCTAATTCCAAACTAGGGCTTTTCCTACCTCTTTAAATGAATTCTCCACTGGAAATGCTCATCTTCTTTGCCTTCCAAATCTTCCCTTTATGGAGAGCCCAGCCACAGCCCAGCCTCTTCCAGGGATGCTTCCAGATGCCTCCAGCCTCCACCAATCTTCTCTGCCTCCCCACACCCTCAGCCTGTCATACCTAGTTTGGCCCTGGGTGCAGCCAGACAATTAATGGTTGAGTTACTGAGCAACTACCAAGAAACCAAGCAGTGGATAAAGGAGATGCCACCCATGCCTCTAGCAAGAAAGGTAAATTTTAAACAGCTAATCACACAATTGCTTTCCTAATTACAGGCATGGTGAGCTCAGAAGAGCATCTCTGAGCTTGCATAATGGGAGGTGGGAAACCACCTTTAAGAGGAGATGGGAAAGATGGCTGGCAGTTGGGGATGCAAGAAAGCACTCCAGAAAAGGGAACAGCAAAGTGCATGACATGTTGGAGGATTTGAAAAAGGCAGGGCACGGGCAGTGTGATGCAACAGGGCACTAGGAGCCATGGCCAGGCTGGCCTTTCCCCAAGAGCAGTGGAACTCTTTGAAGGATTTTTAGCAGGGTAAAACTATCTTGCCCCCTTATTGCACAGGATCCCAACAAAAAAGCTATTGAATTGAATTGAATTGAATTGAATTGAATTGAGCTGAATTGAGCCATGTCCCTTGGATCTTAGTAGGAACCTGTGACTTTAACACAGTTAAGACTCAAGGAAACCTCAGTATCACTAGACCTGGTTCTGAATTAGGTCCCACCCCATCTCCCTTCCCAGTAGCTACTACCATAGGCTATCTCCTCCTTCCAGCCTCACCAAATTCTGTTTATTTCATACTTTACTACCTGCTTGACATTTCCACTGGACAAAGCCAAAAGTGAAGGGCTGATGTTCCCCACTCCCACCGTGACCCTTCTGCCCTCCCCTCTCAGTGGATGGCAACTCTCCATTCCTCACCCAGCCTCCCATGGTTCCAGGCATTTTTCCTATCATTCCCATGAAGCTAGACACTCAGAACAGCTCAGTGTCAAGGGGCCACCTTGGGCCAGCATCCCTGAAGGCAAGGATCGGGTACCAGTGCTTTCTCCATAGTAACCCCATAAGGCATCCCGGTCAACAGATGATGAGCTGGTAGTCTCCCAGATGAGAGATGTGCTTATCTCTCAGGGAGTGAAACCCTCAGTACAACTGAACATTCTTGTTTTGGGGTTTTTACTTTGGTCACCTATAAGCCTTTCGATAAGATAAAAAGGGATTACTTTAAGCATCTTTAAACTAATCCAACTGAACTATAAACCCATGCTCTCCTGTTTGAGCTATGTGTTGTTATCAGCAACAATTTCTTTGTGTGATTTTGAAAACACACAGAGTAAAAGGGCTTAACACTCATCACTGAGACCTTTATGCTACATTTGGAATTTCATTTTGGGGCACCTGATACAATAGGAACAGTACCACATCCAGCAAAATTTTTCTCCTTTAAGAAGGAGGTACTAAGTGTTAAAGGAAAGGTAATTCATTCTTATGATCTGCCCTAGCTTCATTTCTCTGCTCCCTTTTGGAACTATGGATTCTCGGTTAACAAATATTTACTGAGCACCTGTTATGGTGCCAAGCATCCTTGTAGACTCTGAGGACTCTGCAGTGACTGAACCAGTATTCCAGGGCAAGTGAGTTAGGTTTAAGTTGCACAACAAAATATCTGACAAAATCAACATAAGAAGGGTTTTTTTGGCTCATGGTTTCAGGGGTTGCAGCCCATGATCACTTGGCCCTGTTGCTCTGGCCTGAGGTAGCACAGTATATCATGATTGGAACACATAGAAAAGGGAAGCTGCTTTCCTCATGGCAGCCAGGAACTGGAGCGGAGAGCACATATCCACATATCCCCTTAAAGGCACATTCCTAATGACCTAACTTCTTTCCACCATCTAAAGGTTTCACAGCCTCCTCTTAGCACCCAGGGCTGGCAACCAAGATCCAGTATATGAGCCTTGGGGGATACTCCAGATCCAAACTACAGCAGAAAGGAAGAAAGAAATGTAGATCAGGTTCTGCACACCAAGAAGACACTATTAAACTGAGTAGGGGAGAAAATAGTGGATGGATAAGGGAAGGATTTGCTCAATATTTAACATTTGATCGAAGACCTAAAGGAAAGGAAGAAGCAAGCCACACCAGTGGCTAGAGATAGGGCTGTAAAATACATGAAGCAAATGCAAAGGTCCAGGAGCAGCAAAGTGCTTGGGGCCCTCAAGGAGTAGCAAAGTAGCTGATGCGGCTGGAGCACAGAGCATGCAGGTGTCAGTTGCAAAAGTGAGACCAGAGAAGATGCAAGATGGTCTGAGCCAGTACAAGACCTTGGCTTTTACTTGCACTAAACAGGAAGCCCTAGAGGGTTTATATCAGAGCAGTGGCTTATCTGACTCATGTTTCAATAGGCTCACTCTGCAGGTCCAGGGCAGGGAGTCCAGTCAAGAGATACTGCAGTGATCCAGGCAAGGATGGGTCCTAAAGGGGCGCCCTGTTTCCTGGAGGTGGGAGCAGAGCAGATGAGAAGGGTGAGTGAAGAATACTGGACTGATAATCATCAGTTCATGAAGTGATGATAGGTTGGCACTAAATTTAAACTAAAATGGGAGGAGAGTATCTTGGAAAAGCACAAGCCAGAGAGCTGGGATTTCAGGTGTGTGCAGCCATAATCTCTGTGAATGTTACTCTCCAAGGAGAAATTGTTCAGGTGGGTCCCAAGGTGCTAGATGTCCTGCTGTTCATCTGTCTCTACTCCCCAGGGCCTAAGGCTATGCATTTCCACATGCACAGGCATTTCCAGGGTGTTTCAAGGATTGCCATGTCCTTCACTCTGGGCTGGACCAGTCACCTGAGGGGAGAGCAGGGTTTGGAGATGTACTGGCACAATAGTGGAATGAGGCTCTGATCTCTGCTCATCCCACTTGAGAAATGACTCTACTGTAACATTTCTGTGGGTGTATTCCTTTCAGTGTCCTGTTTCAGGACTACAGAGAAGATGGGAGGCACAGAAAAACTTGGATTGATGCTGGGGTTTTTGTTGTTTTTTTTTCTTCCAGGATGATGGTGAATTTAATTAAAGTCTGAGGCTATTTTGAAAACTCACCTGCTCTAACACTTTGCTATTCTGTACATAAAAACTATATATTCTTAGCCACAAATCTGTAACCTGCTCCTGGATAAGCCACTGCCTTCCGGACCTCCCTATCAGGAATCTTGAGATTAAGACTGCTAATTCCCTGGTTACTTACATAGGCTCAGATTGCTTTTGCTAGTACCTGCTAGACTTCTGAAAGTTATGAAGCTTCTGCTCTGAACTCTGCTGTAATCAAATACTAAGATGTCAGTGTCTCCTTCATCTCTTGTTTCTCCATAATCTCTCCCTGGGTTACACCATCCAGGCCCAGGGTGCCCATGCCCATTTTGATACTGAGAATGCCTGCACCATTACCTCTGGTAGTGATCTATGTGGACTCCAGGCTCACACTAATATTAATAGTACCACTGGAGCTAGAGGACCACTCATTTGAGCCTGGGCAATGTCCCAGGTCAAATTTTGTCCTTAGGCTTACTACTCAGAGGGAGATGTAAAAAAAACAAAGATCCCCGAGCCTGCCCTAGAAAATTCTAAAACCCCAAACCAGGACCCCTGCCTACCACGTGTTCCTGCATGACTTAGTCATTCTTTACTTGGAGGTCAGTGAAGGTTCACGCATATGGACTGTATCTCATACATTCAATGACAACCGAGTGAATTATGGGAAAGGACATGTGTGATAGATACAGCTAATCTTGTCAATCATGTTGTCAATCATGCTATGGAAGACCCAATAGGAGGAGTCCTAGACCCACCCCAACATTTTAAATTCTTAAACCCAAAATCTTCAAGTGCTCAAGTTGTGCCATTTTCCTTTATGCTAGTTCAAGCCTGCTTGCTGAGTGTATTGTCACCTGATTAAAACTTTGCTACTTTTCCTTTACCATTGTGTGCCATGTCTGGTTCTCTGCTCATCACGAGAACCCAGGAACCCATCCACACCCTCATGACCCACAGTAACACCATAACTCGGCATTTCCACTTAGGTGTCTCAAATTTGACAATGCAAAAAAAGAAGTCCTTTTCCCTTCCACACTTGTTTCCTACCCCTTGGCCCCAGTCCCCAGATACTCAAGTCAGAAATTTGAGAGTCATTCTTGAGTCTTCCCTTTTCCTCATATCCAATCCATCTCTAAATCCCCGGGAATCCACCCCCAGAATGTCTTTGGAAACCGTCCTCCTCTCTCCACCTCCAGAGGCAGCACATGAGGCTGGCCCACTGCCCCTCCCCTGTCACAGTGCCTCGGCAGCCTTCTCACTAACTTCCCCATCCCCACCTGCACACCAGTCCCAACTCCCCCAGAAGTAAGGAGATCTGCAGTAAATTTAAATTGGGCCACATATTCCCCGCTTAGAACCCTCTGATGACTTGCCAGTATTCTAAAGTCAAGAGCATATTCCTGACATCGCCTTCTGGGCCCCTGAAGAACTGGCCCCGCCTACCTCTGCAAGCCTTCTATTAACCTTCAACACACAGGCCTTTCAGAGACACTGAAGATCAAACTGTAACAATTTCCTTCCTAGTACTTACTGCAGTGGATCTTTTTATATAGTTCCCAGTGTACTTTGTTTTCTGCCTGTCTTTCCCTCTGCCCTCACCTAAGAGCTGTGGGGACAGAGACCATGTCTGCTTTTTCATCCACTGACTGTCCTAACATCACTGGTTAATAAATCATTGCTGCATGAACCCAAGGAAGGTGCAGTTACAACCCAACGTGGTGCCATGCAAGTGGCTGCTGTGCTCACTCCTCGGAGAAGGCATCTCTACCTGCCCCGTTTACCCACTGGGAACAAGGGTCTGGGAAGAGCAGAACACCAGTTAAAGCACCAGTGGACACCTCTCTCACAGGAGCCCAGGGAGATGCCACACATCCAGTGAGCCAAGCACACACACACAGCCTTTCAGGGAAGCAGGACCCACAATAGCCAGTGGCCACCTGAGCCAAAGCTCATTAAATGCAGCTAAGAATCATTTCAGCAGAGCCTGCATGGGGAGCTGCTGGTGGTGAAGGAGAATCTCACACAAATCTTCTCTATCTTCTCCTGTTAAGGGCTCCTGGAGCTATTTGGAGAGAATTGAGGGAGGCCAAGGGGCCTTTTAACATTTGCTGCAGCTTTTCAGTGTGTGCACCACAAGTCTCCAGCACAGTTTAAAAACTCACACTGGGTTAGACCCTTCCAAGCTGAAGCCACACGTATTTTGATTACCTCCCTATTTCTAAGCATTGCTTTTGCATTAAGCAATAAATTTCTTGGTTGAAAACATCATTTTCTGCCCTTCAGGTAGAACACTGTGCTTTAAAATTTGACAAGTTTAAAAATGCTTGGTCACAATGAAAACAGATTTGGTAACTCAATAGTTTTCTCCTCTGTGATTATTTATAGCAGAAAGCTCATAGCCATTTTCTATAAAATTAACAAGTTGAGAAAATAAAGCAAAGTAGTTTACAAATATTAACTAGTTTTCACACATAATAATACGCAAAGTAATACAGGTACAACACCTGAAATTATAAAGTCCTTGACATATGTTTAGAAGAAAAGGCCTGCTTTGGGACCCTGTGAGCTTCCAATCCCTAACTATATATCCTAAAGCATCCTAGAACGAAAAAAAGGGAACCATCTCTCATGGATATGTTTCAGAAGTCTGTTGTCAGAGGTCACAGGCATCAACCAGAAGCCTAGTGGGGCCATTTGGAATTCTGGTCCAGATTAATTTTAAAAAGCTGCATTTGAACTGGAGCAGCTTCCAAATGCATGGCTGAAGAGTAATTGAATTCACTGGCAATGAAGACCCATGTATGATCCCAGCTGGAGCATGGTCACATTTTTCTTCCAAATCTTGTGTCTTGGGGTACAAAGGCTACCCTTTGTCTCCTTCCAACAATGCCTTAACAACCAGGAAGGCGAGCAGGACGAGGCAGAGCCCTTCCCAGCGTGTGTGCCTGGGCTAGGATTGGATCTCATGCAGGATGAGTGGAGGAACCAGAGCAGGAATTGCCTGGGTAGGTGACACAGGAGTGAAGAAGGGGCTGATGGCTGCTTCCTGAATTATCTTCCTCTTTGAGTACGTGGGGTGTCTTTCAGGTGGCCTCGCTGCCAAAGACACTCCCCCACCCCTACCCCCAGGACACGGAGGGTGAGGTGGCAACAGCTCCATACTATGGAGGAGGGGCTGTCCCTTCTCCACATGTCATGGGTGGAGTTTCCAGAAGATCTTGATGGCAGTAGTAGTTTAGGGAAAGTACTCTAGGGGCACTGAAGCACTTTTTCTGGTGGAGTAAGACTTGTGGTGCCCCGAACAAATGAATTCAGCCCCGGGCATAATCCAGCTTCCAGGGTCCAAACCCGGACTTGCTCACAAACAGATAGATGAACATCGACCCAGAAACATCAAAGCAAGAGTCTGGTGTCCCTGTGGCTGAGCCTCTCGATTTCCTCTGGTGAGAAAGTGTTGCCTCGGAGCCTGGAGGGATAAAGGGAAGAGAGGCTTGAGTGGGGACAAAATCAGAGCAGGGCTTGCAAAGGGAAGCTGCCACTCTTAAAATCCATGCCAGGGAGGGGCTGCCCCTCCTGGCTAGTGGGAGGGAAGTCAGTGCCGTTTTTACCCTCTGTCACCCAGGACGGCTCATGAATCATTCTGTGTGGTGAGCAAGGCTCCGTGACTCTGCAAATAGAGCCTACATCACCGGGCCCAGTCAGCCACAGACTCCCCAGGGCCGGCCACTCTTTTTCAGGCAACAACCAAATCTGTCAGGCGTGCAATGATCAAGTGCTGATGCCCTCCCCAGCCCCATGGGCAGGCAACAAGGAACATCAGACCTGATGCCAGCTTACTCCCTGCACACAAAATGTGACATTGCTTAGGGCTGTGCAATGGTTTAAAAAAAAACCACCCTGGCACCCAGGACCTAGTGACCTTGCAGGCTATGGGGTTACACAACCATGCAGAAAGCACAACTTCTTTAGCCCAGGGCAGATTTTAGAAGTTCTTGTTTTCAACTTCACCATTAAAAAACAAACAAACTTCACCATTCAAGATTTATACTTCCTGCTATTTTGCTGCGCTTCTTTGAGGGAGGGCCAAGGTCTGCATATTTAAAGCAGGGGTCACAAGCTAATAGAGATAGGCAGAGGGCCCCCTTTCCCTCCTCTGGTAAATGACTGGCATCGCACATGGGGCTCCAGAGTTGCTGGTGCTTTTGAGAAAATCCTAGAACATAGATCTTCATACGAATTTTAAATATTGTTCTTTAGCTGAGTGCCTGAAACATATTCAGTGACATTTGCTCAAGATGGGTTAGATCAGGCAAACACTTTCTACTCGGTACCTGGGTGAAAAATAGAACCTTGGAAACAAGGAGGATCAATCTTTGCAGCTGGGACTCCATGCTTTTTGCAAATGCATGAAGGGCTGTGGCTTTCAGTGATACAGACACAGATACACCATGCACAGTCCCCACCCCGGGTCACATGCAACATCCAAGCCTGTGAAGGCAGGTGTACTACCCAGCCAAGCAGCAGCTATGTTCTTTTATCTTCATTCATCACTCCCTCCACTCCTACCCTGTTGCTTAGAACAGCAAAGTTCAGACTAAATATTTCTGATTTTAAAACGAAAGCACAGGGCCCTGCTTAGAGGTGTGAAGACTTCTTTGCCAGCCAGACATCTGGATCTATCACAAACAGGATGACACCAAATGTCAGAGCAAGAAAGCAGCTGTAAAATGGCTGCTGTTCCTTTCTCCCCTCATCCCATTTTACAGATAGGAAAAATGAGGCTCAGAGAGGTTAAATGGCTTTTTCCAGAGTCCCTACCAAACTTCCAGGATGGTGTTGTTGCTTTCAAGGGTCTGCAGGAGGGCTTCTGCACCCCGGTAGGTGACATTGTTGTTGGAGAGCCTGGAGAAAAAGATAGAACAGGGGCTTCAGAGTTGCTGGGTTTCCCCCTTGAGCCTGTCCAGTTACAGAAGTCTTACTGGAGCCTGCTTCCCCCTGGACACGGACCTCTTCTGGCTGAGGTTCAAAATGGGCCTGAAAGACAGCCATTTGGGCCTCACAGCATGTAAAAATTGAGCAAAGAATGGCATATCTAACGTGCTCAGCGCAGTAGCTAATTGATAGGAAATAATCAGCAAACAGTAATATTTTCATATGAGGGGTCTCAGGGCATACAGTGCAACAGGTTAGAGACAACAAGAGGCTGGCTATGGGAGGGAAGGCGGGCATTGGCCAGGAGGGCAGGGGAAGAGTCCTGGGTTTCCTGTGCTGCTCTTTTGCTTACAGCTTGGCCTCCCAGCGATGTCCATTTCCAGCCTTCCCTCACACTGACCCTAAAACAATGCTAAGAAACAATGGCCGGTATTTTCCGCACCTTTGCTTTGCCAGCTTAATACCTGCAGGGTCGGTGAATACTCACAACCTCGTAAGACAGCGACAGTTACCCCCACTGACACTCGGGGCAACGGAGGCACGAGTCCAGGGAGAAACAGCTGCAACAGGGGAGCTGGGGTCTGAACCCAGGCTGTCTGGCAGTGGGGCCTTGCTCTAGCCAACACTTGGCAGAGACAAAAGCTGGAAAAAGAAAGAGGTGGGCATCTCTCTTTCTCTCTTTAACAATATATCAGCAGCTTGGTTTTTATGGGAAAACAGTGGGGGATGATATTGTTCAGGATGTGGAACAATAAGGCTGGTGACAAGGTCGTGTGGGACGACCCCCACCCCCACTACTGCCTGGCGCCTGCCGGAGTCAAGTGGGTAAGTCTGTGGCAGTGAGGGAAGACAAGCCTGCCACACCCACACCCGGTCGGTGATGGACCACATACTGCCGAAGGTGCCCCTGGGTACAAAGCTGGCATCCAGCTCAGACAAATCCTGGCTTCACCCAGGCCTCCAGCCATTTGCAACCGAGTGCCAGGCAGAAATGTTTTCCCCAAAC